TCCAAAAATCTTTTATTCTTTTTAGAAAACTTGGTCCTATTTTGAAAATATTTCTCAAATCCTCAGTTTGAGTTCAAATACGCCCGAAGGTGTACTCGAATCCCTCAAACCAAGGCTCTGATACCAACTTGTCACACCGTAAATTTCAAAACAATTTTTCGCATTTTATAAAAACATAATTCATTCATTATTCATAAAAACATCATTGTTTAAAACTCAATTCATAACATATATCAATCCCAAGATCTAATAACATAAAAATCCCATGTGTGTACTGATTAAGTCGACGCCTTCCCGCGATCCTCACTCGTACCTGAAACTCATAACACAAAACACTGTAAGCACGAAGCTTAGTGAGTTACCCAAAATACCATATATAGTAAAACTCTGTGGGTTCGTGCACCCAACTCTGTGAACCCTTAGGTTCTGTCTCTGTGAACCTTCAGGTTCTAACTCTGTAAACATGCACATCATAAAGCAAATAGTATAATGCATTGCAACACATAACACATATATAACATACAAACACTTTATCACATAACTCTGATTACCTACTCAAGGTAAAGTATAGTGAGAAGACTCACCTCGGATATCTTAGTAAATCTCTGACTCGGTAAAACTCTAGTCTAGCCCCTGCCTAATCACATGAAATAAATACTCTAATTAATACAACCCTCACGGCTAGGCTAATCTTTATCTCTCTCTCTCTCTATACATCCTCTAGGAAGGGTAAAAGACTATCCTACCCTTCCAATGACTCTAAGGTCCAAACATTGATTAACCCTAAAAGTCAACGAAGTCAACGTTCAACCTTTACCAAACTCGTCGAGTGCACAACTGTGACTCGACGAGTACCATCATGCACTCTGTCCTCAACATTCCCTCTGACTCACCGAGTCACTTCCCCAACTCGGTGAGTCACCAACTGTGTGATTATTGGGGAAAACCCTCGTCCTACTCGGCGAGTCGGCTATTGGACTCGACGAGTTCATGCCATGCTCGAGCTGAACTGACCTCTTGAGATCAGATCCGCTCCTCTAAACCGTAGATCCAGCTTCCCAAAGCATTATAATCACGTGAAGCTAACATCTTGGTGCACATGCAAAGGCTCAAAGGCCTTATTTGAAGATATGACCTCTAAAATGACATCTTAAGCTCATAACCCCCATTAACACCCATAAACCTCAAGGGAAAAGGGTCTCTGTACCTCTTTGTGTCCAGATCTACAGCACCAACACGAGAAGGGACCAATTACTCCATATAACCATCCTCTAAAGGGGGCTAAAAAGCCGTATCTCTAAGAATTACACCATAAACTGAAGAAGGGTCGAATGAATACCTCAAAATGAAGTCTCTAAGCCCTGGAATCACTGGATTAGCACCCTCTTCAGCCTCCTCTTGATTTGGTCCCCTTCTATATGCAAAAACACTAACAAATGATCAAGAAATGAGTCCTTTCCCCTCAAAAACGCTCTAGCTCACTTAGGGTCTCTCTCTGGGGTCTGGTAGCCGCAAATGACGGCCATAAGGCTCTTTAAATAGGCCCCAAACCCGAGGAACTAGGGTTTCATTAAACAGCATGGACTCGCTTAGTCCTCAGGGCAACTTGCCGAGTCCATCCATCCACCCTGATAATGATTCGCATCACTACTCAGCGAGTCTACGCATCAACTCGCCGAGTTCTTCCACAAAACTTGAAATTCAGCGAATAAATATAATACCTGAAATTCCGGATGTTACAATTTTTCTAGAAGTTAAGCTATTTTGTGAATACATGTCAAAGCTAGTGGGAGCATAAGTGTTATGCTATTATAATCATCATGATAGTGGGAGCATAAATGTTATGCTTGTATGATTATTAAGACAAGTATTGCATGTTAGCAATATTAATTATAGAAAACGAGAGTTATACTTTGCAAAGTTGTAAGGATTGAATAGTTGTTTTGCTATAATTAAGGGAGAGAATATTATGCTTCATTTCAAAACTAAAGGCTTAGGTTGTGGAATGTTAACGAACTTAGTCAAGGATACATAGTGTGTTCTTAAATTTCGATTATGATTACGACTTTTTCTCTCATAGTTTGAATTGTAAGAAGATAACACATAAAATATTATGGCAGAAGATTGATAAAGTATCAAATCTTTATGTAAGACATTATGCATCATGACCCATATGCTTCAGATATAGGATCGATTGCAAGTGCTATAATATTTGACCATTCTAAATATTTTCCAAATTTCTAGTGCATTTAGAGGGAAAAAGGACAAGAATCGATTTTGACTAAGATAATTAAACAACTATCAAAGGACGATCCAAAGCTTGCTAAGGATTGGTCGCTTGTGAGTAGTTGGAAGTATGATATTGGATGGAGCATATCGACATTATTATGAATAGATAAGATTCTATTAAGAATGAGTTGTCATATGGTAAGTATGGAAAGGTTTCCATATTGGGAGTTGGATATTGAGAATCTATGTCTAGATTAGAAACTTTTATGCAAAAGGATGTTCAAAGGAATGTACTTTGAGTGAGAGACATCACATCTATGGAATTGTCTTGTAATAATTTCCGATAGAGATCTTTGTAATTCCTTGGCAATAATCATTGTGACCTTAGTGCAGTGACATTACAAAAGGATCATTGCATAAAATGTTAGAATCTAACATATTCTATAAGTGGCAAGAATTTGATATTCTTACACTTGTGATAAGGATTGGGAGTTGTGAAATGAGTATGATTGGAATTGTGTTCATTTGATCTATTTCACAAACTAAGGACCGTAGGTTAGCATTGTGTGCATGCTAAGAGCATGGGACAAGTGTAGTTATAATTCAAGTAAGAAGTTGATTACCTGAAACAACAAATAATGAGTAATCGATCTGGTGATAAATAAAAGGTGTTTTATTTATACTCAAAGATTTGGGGCCATATGGGATTAGTATTATTCTTGTATTTCGCTTTGCATGTTTTGACTTCCTGAATAATTGAATTGGTTCAGAATAGTCAAATTATTCAAACGGGCCACAATCGTTCATATGTTGGAAGTAGGTATGAATGAAGACTGTCGTGAATTGGTGTGTGGATTGTCTAAAGAGTATTAGACATAAGTAAATGTTTGCTGCAACGTTCATGAGTGCTTATGAATATGATTTGAGCGTTGGATTAAACCCACGCTCACTTGGATCACTTCATGGATTTTTATCACGAGTGATTAGTGAGACGATAACATGTTATATTCTTGAAACAGAGATGTGTGATTTGTATCTTGCGAATCGGTTGCACATTGATAATATGTAAACGTGCTAGTAACTTGGTGTCATAAAACTTATTATTGTGTGTGATTGGGTGAGTGAGTGCAAGCGAGCATTGAGTTAAAGTTTATCCATTCCTTTTATCCAAAGTAGGATGAAAGTAATATCTGTGGGTCCCTCGATGATTTAGTGATGGCACCTAATCGCTTGGCCAAGCCGGGACTAAATTGACGTGTTCAAATGTATTCTGTTGTCAGTCGTCATAAATCAGAAATCGGGAAACAACACATAGATAGAGAGAATGAGTTAAATCCATGTCTCAGTCTATATGATATCTAGAATGGAGGAATGTGTGATCCCTTATCTAAACGACACGCGTATCTGATAAGATCAAAGTTGGCAGTGGCTTTAGAAAGCTATGATTGCAGATCAGGATCTGAAGTCATATGCAGAATAGTTGTTAGACTTATCCAAGTAGGAGACTGTTGGATTAGTGTCTAAGTCCATTACTATTTTGGTATGTACTTGACCCGATGGTGCATGGTCCTTTTGGGTTGCCTTCTCTAAAGCAATTTGATAGGTTGAATTATGAAGAGAAAGGATTAATTATGATTTATTAATATATTATCAGAATAATATATTAAAGGAGAAATCATATTGTTTAATTAATATTAGTCAATAATTAATAAGAATTAATTCTGTGGCTAAAAGACATTAACTAAATGAAGGGGACTAGAACTATCAATTGTGTGATAGTTGAATATTAGGCTAATGGACTCCATAGAGGATGGAGTGGACAAATTCTATGGGGAAAACCAATTAGAAGTCGTCCAAGGCCTCTAAGGAGGGAGTCCATGGGTTGCTTAGGGCCTAAGCATCCAAATTAGGGTTTCCTTGTTAGATAACCCTAATAGCCTCACTATTTAAGGACCCCTTGGGCACCAAAAACGAGGGCAACTGAATCCTTAGGGTTTCTATACGTTTTTTGGGTGTCTCCTCTCTTCTCATTCTTCATCCTCTTGCTTTTGGTGTTTGTGAACCATTAGAGGAGTGACATTTGTGACTCTAAGCTTGCTAAAGTCATTACAAGGAGGATTTGAGATTGTTATTGCTACATAACAATCAATGTAATATCTTAAACCCATTGTTATGTTAATATTGATTATCATATGCTAGATCTAGGGCTTAAAGTCTTGGATGAATTGCATGTACAATAGAGAAACCTAGATGCAAGCATTAGGGTTTGTATGAGCACATAGGATGTTCTTATGGCGAAACCCCATCATTAATATCTCAGCTCCATAACTCCATAATTTTTCATAATGTGTGTTTAAACTGCCTTCGATCTCATTAAGTGCAAACTTCTTTGCATTCCTGCATTGTCCAACACTAACCTTCACATTGAAATTTTCCCCAACTTTATCCCTCATTTCCCTGCAACTCATTTTGGGATTTTCTAAAATATCATTAACAAAATGTTTCCCTATCCATGAGTAAGTAACAACTGATCCAAACTTGAAGGTTCTAGCACAACTATGCTCATTAATTAAGGACTTTATTTGGACTGATTTTTCACTGCTCATCCAAGTTGCCCATAGTCTAAAAGGACATGCTGCCTTTCCTTCATTAGTTTTACAACACTTGACTAGCAACCTAGTTTTATCATTTTTTTTCATACCAAAGGTTAAAACCGTTTGCTACTTCATAGTTTGAGACAAGCTGTTTAAGTTCTTGAGGGTTACAAAACCTCATACCAAGGATGGGTTGCATTGTATCCCATTTCTGAGTTGTGTCATGAAACGGATAAATTGGAGCTTGTTTGGTTCATTATCTGAATCATCATCCTCATCAACAAAATCATCTCTAGGGACAACACTAATATAGTTAAGAAAGGGATCATCGGATTTAGTCAATGGCATTACCTCTTCATCGGGTTCATGATCAACCGATAGAGCATCAGACATGACCGAGTCCTTATCTTCATCAGAGCTTTCACTATCAACACCTTCTTCTTCCTTTTCTTCCTCTATCCAGTCAAGCACCGAATCATTGTAGTGATCAACATATAGATTAATCTTTCCTTTGTTACCATGTGCAGCATCAAGAAACCTCCTGTAGTCATCATCATTTTTCAGTGGTCTCAACCCATCACGCATTGACTTATGCCCAAGACAGTAGTAGACATCAGGACACTTCCCCTTTGTGACATCCTCAAGAACATAAATGAACTCCTTGAAATTTAATCCACCAAAATCGACATCTGTAATTGAAGTATTTTGATTCATTTAGTATATAAGATGAGGAATGGGGGAAAACATTCCATCGTAATGAACATCTACTTGAATGAAAGTTGATCCTTTTGCATTAGATGGACCAACCATCATTGATCTCATAGAAAGCTTCGACTGAGATAACCCTACACAAAGTTCTTGGTTTGAGGGTGTTTAATTGATAGACGGGTGATTAATACCATGAACAGCTGTAATAGCCACGTATTTTCCACATAATCATTTATTTTATTTTAAATAAAAAAAATGTTGGGATAACCTATTGTATCCGGTTGCCAATGGTAATTTTAATGGCATTTTTTGTTAAAAAAAAAACATGAATGGTATAATTTGAACACGGGTAAAACATCATTACCCTTACAAGTCATTTCCCAATATTTTTATAAATTTGATAAGAGAATTTTAATTTTTATATATATATATATATATATATATATATATATATATATATATATATATATATATATATATATAGGTAAGTTCAATTGAGAAAATAAAAAGAATAGGGGAATCATTCTCAGCCAATCATTTAATTAGCATATTAGCATAAAATACACGGTGGCAAATTTGTAAATATGATATATTAACCTTCAATCGCATATACCATTTCTTCTGGATCGTTTATCTGTTTTTCATCAACACCATATGTTATTCATTCATCTCGATTGTTCCTTTGTGGTCTTCATCAACATCATATGTTCTTCATCAACATCATACGTTCTACTACTTGTTCGCTATCAAAATCACATGTTCTTCATAAAAAAAGACATCGACACTTCATAAAAACATCAGTTCTTCATCAAAGATCTTCGTTTATTCATCAAAATGTTGTGATTCGTCATTAAAAACGTTTATTTTGTACTATTAAGTGTAACTCGTGATTCATTCTTGTCCAGTTTCGTTGACATCAAACAAAATCGTTAAAATAATCCACATTTATCGATGTCACATCATTTAGTGATCACCAATCATCAAAACTTCATCAAAGGAACCTTCACCAATATCAAACAACAGGTAGCAATCAAAAGTTCATCAACATAACCATATATTTGAAGATTTTTTTAAAAATCGTTTTTCAAGTTTGAAAAACTTCGTTTTTCATACATTTTTTTCACAAATTTTGATATAAACCTATTGATTATTAATCGATTTTGGATAGGATTTGATTTGTTTTGTAATTATTGGCTTCAATTGTGAATTTTTTTTCCATAGTTATATAAGTTAATTTATTTGCACACCAACTGTTCGATGAAATGCATAAACTAAATATATCACGTAATATTCACAAGTGAATATGCCTTTATACGAGAATCAATGTATATCTTTAAAAAACACAGAGCAAGTATGTAATTGATATGTGAATAATATATAAAAAATGTATTCACATGCGAATACATGTAATATTCACAAATGAATACAGGTAATATTCATAAATGAATACATGTAATACGTCATTTTAAGGTCGTAAGCAAGTTTGTAATTCATATGTGAATAATATATAAGAATTATATCCGCATGTAAACATATGTAATATTTACAAATTAATATATATGTAATAATTAAATGTGAATATATATGTATTATTCACAAATGAATAAAACTGTCAATAAAACCGAGGACTATAAAATATATAAAATTAAAGATAAAAAAAAAATATTTGATAAGAATATATATTTATTCACATACAACTAATCTTTTTAGGTTAATAAAATAAATATATAAGCATATATATTTTTATTAATTTTATATTCATTTGTGAATAAATGATAACTTTTTTTTCCAGAACTTTATAAAAATAGAAAAACGTCATTTTGAGGCCCTAAACTGTAACGACCGAAAAATTCCAACCAATTTAAACTTTTCGGAAAAACCCGATTTCATTAAATTATTACAAAAAAGTTTTCAATACATTTATTATTAGAGTATTCCCAGAACCATAACATAAAACATAAACACGAGAAGCGGTACAATCACGCCTTCGCCTTGCCACGGTCTCCTGAAGAACCTGAAAAACATTAAACCACAACTGTAAGCCCGAAAGCTCAGTGAGATACCCCCAAAATACCAACCACATATACCATACATGTATAACATGTCATATCATAACCGATCACAGAACAACCATGCATATCGGGTCTACTGTGTGACTGGTCCGCCGTATCGGGTGTTCAGTCCACCCGGTATACCCTCCGAGTCTAGTCATGTCCCTCAAGTCTGCAGTGTGGTTGGTCCCCCCGCACCGGGCCTTCAACCCACCTGGTCCACTCTCTGAGTCTACAATATGACTGGTCCACCCGCATCGGGCCTTCAGTCGGCCTGGTCCACTCTCCGAGCCTCGGTACGTCTGGTTCGCCCTCGTGGGGACTACAGCCTATCCGGACCGCTCGCTAGGCCTTCAGAATAACCGGTCCGCCTTGGGTATGTTGGCCTACAACACAAAGCAGGTCCCGCCTCAACCCAACTCCAGTCCAAATAACCATGTGCACATAAACATACAATCATATAACAGTTCACAGTCAACAAGCCGATCAAACAGATCACATAACATATCATCATCCTAACCAGGATACCGACCTAACCGGTCACTAGCATAGTATCACCCTACATATCAGGATATCGATCTTAACCAGGTCTCTAACATATACCATCCTAGCTACCAGGATGAAAACATATCAAAGCAATAACATAACAACAAATACCCGGTTCTCAATCCGATAAAGGGCCGGCCTTGGTGCCTTAGACCCTGTTGATATAGTGAGGATAACTCACCTCGTGATTGCCGAAACTTTGAGCTGAAGATGCCAATTCCCGAATCACAGACTCACCGAAAATCCCGAACTAGCAATCATAAGAAAATAATCATTAGGCCAAACATACATCCGCTTACCGGGCAAAGGCCAAAGTCCAAATCTTCTACAAAGCCCAATATTGGCCCAATTTACTAAATTGGTCCCCCTCACCAAATGGGCCTAGATCCAAGGTCCAATAATAATAATTGGGCCCAAAAATACTCTATCCATAAATTTCCAATCATGGTCCATAAACCAACAGCCCAATAACTGCCCAAACTCTAAGGCCCAAAATGGTAATCCAACAGGGGGAGTACGCTGGGCGTACCCTCCTTGGTACGAGGGGCGTACATGCTGATTCGCAGTTGGGGATCGGGGCACTTATTCTCTACGTGGGGCATACTCAAAGGTTACGCGGGGCATAACCTTGTGGCTCAACAAAATCATATAATGACTTAATGGTTTAAGCTCTTAAGCCCAAACTTCAGATCCTTAGGCCAAATATGCCTAGGATCCATAAAGTCTCGAACTTTATCACCTGGGACGTCCATAAAGCTCTTAATCTATGGTCTTAATCCATTAAGACCTACATATCTTACACATGGAAAAACTATAGCCCTTGGGACCTCATTTTTCTCACTCAAGACCTCTCCTAAGGTCTGAAAGGACATATAATCTTGACCAATTCGAAACATGCAACAAGATGAGGACTTTTGGAACAAGAATGATGTCAAAGCTTCACAATACATACATCTGCACAATATGAATGTCAAGCAAGAAGCTTTATACCTCAAATAGACTCCAAAGGATGATATCTTTCCAGATCTATAAGCTCCAATCCTTCCTCTCCTTCTTTGACAACTTCTCCTTTCTTCTTCTAGCTTCTCTTTTGCCAAAATAAGCTTTCCAAGACCAAACACACCCAACAATGGAGGGAATACGGATTTCTAAGGTTTCTGGGGGTAAAAGAGTGTCTATGGAGGCTTAGGAGGGAACCATTATGTTCCTTATATAGTGGTTGCCCTTAAAATTAGGGTTTAGGGTTTCTGAGAGTACGTTGGGCGTACCTCTAGTACGCTGGGCGTACTTACGCTTGCCCCCCGCATTTCTCCCTTCACTACGCTGGGCGTACATCCAGCTTACGCTGGGCGTACCCAGCCAACTTCAAGCATGCATGCATGGCATGCATGGGACCTTTTTCTATAATTACCCCTAAGGAGCTATAATCAAAATCATCTTCAAAACGCCGCAACTCCTCTACTCTAAACCTGCTCCTAATAAACTTTACATTCACACGAGGGTGGCGAGAAGCCCTATGCTTCTATCAACCCACACACCTGACCAAACCTTCTCGGATAAAACCCATTTCCCGCAAAAGGACCAAATTTACCCTTCCTATTCACTCTCAGGGAGTCATAATTAAATACTTTAAGAACGGGGCGTTACAATTCTCCCCCACTTAAATTAGGTTTCGTCCTTGAAGCCTGCGACAACTCCACTCCAGAACTACCCCCGCAATGCACCACCTAGCATTCACCGGACCAGGTTCCTCAAGACTTGACCATCGAAATCCGAGACCCAACTTTACCAACTTTACCTTTCTTGCTGATAGGATGACACATGCTTCAGCCTCAGAGCAACTCCCACAAGTTCTCCACTGCAATCTCATAACCACATTGAACTGGCCCTAGAATCCTCGGGTTGGGAAAACCTGTCACACTGACGATACCTCCAAACATCCCCCAGGATGAACCACCACTACACACACAATTCCTTGATCAGAATCAAACTGGGAGTCGAAAACTCCATCCCTGCATCCCTTCCGAGCCTCTTGGCTCTACACCTGCGGAATTCCTTCCGCAACCTCAGCAGTCATCCAATCCGGATGTGATCCCATATGACTGCCGCAATCACGCTGCTCAATGACCATAATTGGACCACTCCAATCATAACTCTGCGCTTCTGCTTTCACTTCCGTAAATTTACACTCCCTCTCGGAGCCACATACCTATCTCTTTCCTTACCAAGGAAATCCACTTGACCGCCTTGTCACTACGACAAGTGTCACGGTGCTCACCCAACGCAACACCACTCCCTTATAGCATAATCGCTATCCATGCAACACACATGCTCTGAATCTGCTTGCAAGGACTCTCGAGTCCATGCACCATCTCCACTAATCAAGATCAATACCCGGGGCCAGACCTT